AAAACTACTCGTATTTTTCAAACTACAAAAATCATACATCCCTGTATTATTTCATTTAAATAAATATTATTTTATTATGTCTAAAACTTTATATGCAAAAGAATAATTACCGAAGTAACATAAAAAATCATTATTAAAGAATTATTAAATATCCTTTTCATAAAATAGTATGTATAACATAACTGTAGCGAAGCAAAGCGAAGGATCTGCTAATGACTAATTCATTGCACATTCCGTTCCATCCAAGCACAACCGCATAGTGCTCCTCGAGTATAGGTCAGTATTGGACGCAACGTAGTGGAATAACGAGCATGCTGTTCGCGAAAGCTTTCCACACAAAAGACATTTTGCACAATGGTGAAATATTTTACAATCGCCGCAATAATTTAATATTTGCTCGCGCACTACAAATCCACGCTTTTCTATCTAAAAATATAGGAAAGCGCGGTATCAATTTAGTATTTACGTCTAAATATTTTCTCGTGAATAAATCCAGGACGCTAGCGAAAAAGTTCAAACAAAATGTGCAAAGTAAATAAGCAACCAATAAAATCTACAATGCAAACATAAGCATCGCGATTTCTAACGCGTTACTAAATGAAACGATGGATTTTTCATAATCATAGATTCGAGAAATTCATTCTACGACTTATCTTGTAATTTCTTGTACATACTGAATCTTAATACAACAAATAAAATAATAATTGTATTAAGCAATAAATCCTCTTTGATTTATCACGAATCTATAAAATGCTTGCTCTTAAAACTCAAACGTAAAGTATTATGACACAAATAAAAGTATATTACATTTATATTTAATTTTAAAAAAATGTTTCCAACATAAAATATACTAATTATTCAGGCAAATATAAGAAAGATACAGAAATAATTAAAAATCAAAAATCAAAAGATAAATAATTAAATAATTAAAAAGATGCAGCATTTTTTAATGTGTTTACATTACTTTTTCTCCGATAGAAAGATTTCTAATTAAAGAAGTGTAATAGCAGAAATGTTAAATTTAATATAAAACTGTTTGTCGCGTCAAAGTGCACTATTATTCCCATCGTCATAAAACCACGGTACGTCTTTGTAATAGTTCTTAAAAGCTAGAGAGTTCTAGAAGAGAAGCATGCTCTCATCTTCGTCGAGCACGAAGGAAAACGAGCACAAAAGCGAATGGAAAGCACGAAACGCGAGAGATGATTTACGACGGGCAATTTCGAGCAAGCGTATCACAGCGCCGGGTTCTATCCGCTCGTATTGTCCGAGAGAAATCGCGGTAAAGTTAAAAAAAATCTCATTCGCGTCGAAACGGAACAGCGCAACGGTGCTTAATGGGCATGCTTCTGTGCGAGCAAACGTCGATGATTGCCGGGAGTGAAAATGCCCCGCCAATTTTACCTTGCCGCATTGATGTGAATTACTGCGGCGAATGACGATTGTAAGTCTGATGTATAAGTTAAAACATATAATTATCAATGTAAGACAAGTGAAACAAAAATTTAAGATAAAAATGTTTAATCTAAATTTAAATGTATATAATAAAAAAAATATATAATGAATATTATTTATATATATTTCTAAAATAATATATTGATGTGTTGGGAGGATATTATTTATACTTCTAAAATAATATATTGATGTGCTGGGAGGCACATATAAAACTTAGCACTTAGCAATTGGATGAAAAACAGAATGTAGTAATTCAACTTGAGTAAAGCAAAGATTGTTCAAACGTGTCAATGTCAGAGAAGAGATTATGGTATAGAAAATATAATAAGATCCTGAGGATAATCGCGGAGCTAAAAAGAAGACGAGGTGGCTGTGAATAATTGACGAAAAGGGGATTGAAAGACTTCGGTACGCCGAGATCGGAACGACTCAGATGAGATTGAGAAGGAAAATGAGATGGAAGGCGAGAGAAAAGTATAAAGAGTGACGTTATATGTATATAAAAGATGCAGCGATAGGAGACTCCTTTTCAGAGGATTAAGAGAAGCCCGACGTGATTTATATAACCAGCAATTCATCCGCTATCTGATCCCTGATAACACAAAACTCGGTACTTTCAATTATTTTTAATCTATTCATTGACTAAAAATACATACAAAATATATACAAAATATCTTTAAGATAAATTATACTTTAAAATAAATTAATACACTATTAAATTAAATTTTCCTATTTTTGTAGAAAACATTGAATAATTATATTTCTTTTACACTGTCCGCACATGAAATTCTTATGAAATTGCATTATATCAAATATGTGTTGTATGAAAACTGGAAACTGATAAAATATTAATTTAATTATACTTTTAAATCGATTGGCTCTGTAAAATACTAAATATAGATTGCCTAATTTGAAGAAGCGAGAACACAATTTATCCCAATAACGTTGGAAAGTAATGAAAGGTTCATCCTCATATTTTAAAGATCAATTCATCGAGACGAGGAGAGATTAAGACGTATTCCCCGGACGCTAGAAGTCGAAGGATCGATTAAGTGAGATGGGAAGGGATGAAGGTCCCTTGAGTAACAAAACCTCTATGAAGGCCGACACAGGAAAATGGATTCTAATCGTCCTAACGCTTCGGCCATAGGCATTGTGAGGCATTATTCCTCCATTAGGATACTGAATAATTCACAAACCGGATGTCTTAGTCGAGCAAACTCCGATGACGGACCGAAGAGGAAACGGACCACGAATAAAAACGGAAAAGTGTAAGAAGAAAAGAAAAATCTCTTTCCTCATCATTTACATACTATTCTAGTATAATTTTAGTAATAATAATAATAATATGCAAAAACAATCTGATTTTCTAAACTCTTTTTAATGTTAAACTTTAACTTGTTAAAATTTGAAAGGAAGCTGAGGTTATTCAAATTTCAAATGCGAGGTTTTTGTAATAATTTAGTTATTACAAAAGATCAAAGTTTAAATATACACGGAAAGTAGAATATCAATAATTCTTTGTGTTCAACATTTAAACTGTATAATCGCTTTCCATTTTTTAATATATATATCGGCACTGTAATGAAATATACAATTAAATTTTGCTGATATATCAAAAGTATATGGCAGAATTTATACGATATTTCAACGAATGTCATTCGCTTGTAACAAAGTCCAATATTATCGGGGCTACGCCTGCCTTCAAATTATGCCCGATTTTCCGTGCAAAAATTGTAACAAGCCAATGGCGATCGAGCTTCGATAAATTGTCTGTGACGATACGGTGGAACGTCCTCGTGTACACGCACCATGTATATGTGAGAGATTACATTATGCAACTCGAGGTCGAGTATGATCGCGCGCGTACACGCACGGAGCTAACGAAGTGCCTCGTGGGAACAGCGCCATCGATTGTAACTACAAATGGACCAAAGAGATGCACCAATCCTTCGAGGTACGACTCTGACACCTCTACTGTACAGCGAGCTTCAATGTATTGCATTCGAATTCATTTGACCGTAATATTGTCGTTATCGTGTAGAACCATGTACCTTGATTTACTATTATGGTAATGAATATTTCTCTAAATCTTATTAAATCGTTATAAGAGAAAAATGCAAATGTATTACAGTCTAACCGACATCGTTATACGCATAATATTATTTCAAATTGTGTTAATATAATGATACATTTGTGTGCAATGATTATTTGTTTATAATAATAAGTTTATTTTCTATAAGCAGAACTATAAGTACACACTTTTGGAATTTAAAGTAAATATAGGTATTTATTAGGTGTTGGAATTAATTCGTAGCGTTTTACAAGTGATGGGAAGTACTTTCATTAATGTATTTTTTAATGCTCATGTGAAATAAATAACATTCTTTCATTAAAAAACGCTACGAATTAATTCCAACACCTAATATTATTTACTGTAAATATAAATGTTTGATATTTGGCGAAAAAGAAAGTTCTATTATAATACAGAGTCTAATACAAATATTAGCAGACCCATTATATGCCAACATAAATATGTCATTTATAAAAATAAGTACTATTATATATATATAGGTATTATATATTAGGTGTTGGAATTAATTCGTAGCGTTTTTAATGAAAGAATGTTATTTATTTCACATGAGCATTAAAAAATACATTAATGAAAGTACTTCCCATCACTTGTAAAACGCTACGAATTAATTCCAACACCTAATAATTATTATATTAGTAATCTAGTTTTGACTTGATTTCTTATATTGGAACATTATTAATTTAACGTATAAAATTACTATCTTATTTTTCTTATTATTGATTTTTTAACTAATGAAAATTCTGTGTTAATCAAAACGTTTTCATTTCTGTAATTCTTTTACACAATAAAAAGTTAATATTAATATATTATTATATAATATATGATATTATTATATAAAATATAATATTAATATATAATATATTATTCTAATATTAAAAAATATATTTATTTAAATAATGCCATTAAATATATTTACTTGCGCAATAGATAAATCATTTACTCAATAAAAAATGATTGTTAAATCAAATTAATAGTTTTTGTATCAAATAAATAAAGGATAGCTTTACGTGATGATTTTGGTCGTGAGTTTAAATTGAAAAATTTGGAATGCAACGACTCCCAGAGCGATCGTTTCGCGAAACATTGTACTACTCACGCATCATGCAACAAAGGCAGTAGATATTATTCCAGGAGACGAGTGTAGGTCGGCCATAACGGCTGCGGGTACACTGCAATGCCCGTTGGCAGTTGGCATTGCGACTGTTTCTACTGCGATGAAGGTGGGCTCAGCGTTTGCCTTTACTACTACATTGCCTGTAGCAGCTGTAGCAGCGTGTGTAACACTGTGCCTTGTTCGGTGTTTCGCGAATGCGATGATAAGAGTCGGACGTACGCAGTAGTCACGTCGCGCCACGCACGCGTTGCTTTTGGTGTGTGAACTGCGTGAAGTTGACCGCGCGAGAGACGAAATCCCTCTACCAACTTCACTGAATTTACATTCCATTTGCAGAACGTGGCAGACACAAAATAGATCGGCTCCGGAACGAATTGACATCGCGAATCGTTCAATTGGTAAGCAAAACTTCCCAGCTAACAAGCTGAGGTTATTTGACATCAAATAATAGCTTTGTTAGGTTATATTAATCTTGCAATAACTTTTATCGTATACGCTAATAGAAGAAAAGAGGCGATTGTAGAATGGATGAGGAGTGATGGAATGCCACGATATGTACAGTTTATGCTGCATTCAAAGAACAACCGTCAAAATTTTTTCTTTAAGGCCCAGTTGATCTTGTCACTTTGACTTTAAGCGAGACTTAAAACTCTATCTGTCTCATTTTAAAGCCAAAAAAAGAGAGAGTTTTAAGCCTCGCTTAAAATCAAAGTAACGTTGGTGCAACCGGACCTTAGTCTGCTTAAACGTTACAACATGGCCACAGGTCATTAGTGTTTATTACATTGTCACGTAAAAGCTGCATTTTAGTTCTGCAGGTAGACAGTTTTGCAGTTGTGTACTCATTACGTAATTTTGAGAAGTATGTTGATATTAATTTTGTAACTTTAGTTTAGCTCAGAGACCATGAATATAGCTTTCAAATCGTATAATTGAACTAAATTTGATAACGAAATGTATGCATGAATAGTATAAAATTATACTATGTGTAAAATCATTATTATATTAATTAAATACTTAAATTTTTAATTAAAACTTTAAATATTGATAAATAAGATGCCTAACATTTTTTACTAAGATTGTGTGTATAATAAATATGATATTTTAGATTATATATTTTAAAAAATTTTTTAAATATTTAATAAAGTATTTAAGACATTTTTATTAATTTAATTTGTGAATAAATTATTACCTTTCACTTGCTTTTGTTCGTTGAGATCTTTATTTATTATCTTTATTTATTATCTTTATAACATAGTTAATATAATAAATATACAAAACTTTTTCAAATAAAAATTTATAATAGTTTAAATTATATCGAAATTAGATTTTTCCAAATTTTATATACGATAAGGGCATTTTTAAGACATTATTCTTTTATTAAATATTTGTCAAAAAATTACGAAGAAGATAATACTTGCATGCAAAAATTATTTTTTACATGATATATATTTCTTTTAGTTATTTTTATTCGAATATATTTGTATGTATACAGATCATGTTGTATGTTTACAACTCCGCCGTTGTGCATAGTAATGCATGTGCTTGAGAAGGAATTCTGACAATCTATGAGGAAATGGAGGAGGCTTGACAATCCATGAAGAGGAGACCTAAAACAAGCATCAGGTATCGGTGAAGCATCATTGCGGTAAGCATTATTGCTTACTTGCATAAATAAGAATTCCTTCCTAAGAAGTTCTTATATTTTTCATTTAAAAATAATATTCAGAGAGAAACCTAAATGTAATTTGAAATTTTAAAACATTTTATTCTTATAAAAATCTCTTTTGATAAATGTATATTGTATGCCTAACATATTTAAGAATATTTATTATATATTAGTAAATAATTAATATTATTTATTATAGATTAATAAAATAGTAATTATATATTTAAAAATATTTGATTGGCAGATATGATAGAGGAATAAAACATTTTATGCTATCGTATAAATTATTTTTTAAAACATTAATTATTTTTAGCATTACTTTATTTTAAATCTTACGTTTATGTGTTACAGAATCAACATAGCGACATGGCTGATAACTCCACTGTTGCATGGACTCCATCGATCGGTGAGTTACCAAAGAAATTGATTAATGAGAAAACGAATTGATGAAAATCAGACGTATCAGACGTATCAGACGTACATTTTGTACAAATCATTATAATTATATCAAAATTGAATATAAAATTCTATAGTTCTCTGTTATCTTAAAATCGATGGACTACAAAGGATTATAACAAATATTTAATCTTGATCTATCTTTTCATTATATGTATAATAATTACATTATAAATATAAGGAAATTGATAAGATAGTTGGAAAGCTTATATTAATCCTTTTTGTACATAAATTTATCGCTGTATTTTTATTTTAATTTACATCAATTTATTGCTATAATTGTCATTTTCTCAAATAATTTGACGAATTTAGCGCATATCATTTTTATTCAACGCTCTTAGGGCTATAAAATTTACACATATGAAGACGTTTTTCACGAAGATAAGTACTTTAACATCTGAAGCGCCAGATGCATTCCATGGCTAGTCGCAATAGCGAGGTAAATTACTGTCGCGAAAATAGCGTTTCAAATCACGTAAAATATATTATAATGAATCACGCACATTTAATTTGTCTTTAATCCATGTTTTTGCAACATGGCTATCAGCTTCAGATTTGAATTTAATATGTAATTGCGTAATTTATTTTTATACACATACACACACCACACACAAATAGAACATAATAATAACTAATAATACTTAAAAATGATCATAATAATTCCCCTTTAAGAACTAATGCATTTACTTTTAAACAACTGTTATATATTGATGTATGTATTTATTATCGCATGCTTTTAGTCGAGATATTATCATATTTCTTAATAATGATCACATTTTATGACATATTCCGTTATTAATTACATTTGAACAGCTTGAATGATCTATATGATCTATATTTTAGTGTTATGAAAAAAGCATCAATTATTCGCTAAAGTTAAATATAACATATATTGTTTACATAATAAATATTAGGTAATATTTTCCACAAGAAAACATTGTTATTTAAACACGTAATATGCATACAGTGAATCATTCATCTTCGTAAATTAATATGATAAAATATAATACATGATTAATTGATCTTGCAAATCGTCCTCTAAAATCTAAAATGCTGGCTTCCCATGTAACAAAATATTATAGATCACTATTACTTATGATAAGTGCACAAAACTTTAAATTAATAAATCAACAATATTTATTTAATTATTAGTTAATTCAATTTTTCTTGTTAAAACTAATTATCAAAATATAAATATTCATCATTGTATTTCTGTTTTTGTTTGTGTAAATTATTCATGGTATATTAAATTTCTTTAAATACTATACTTCATAAATTATTTTTAGATATTTTTAAGAACATTATTTTACTTTTATTTTTAAGAATGAAATGTGGATGTGTATAAATAATACAATTCTTTATTAATTTTAATTCTAAAGGATTCCAAATTTACAATAACAACGTATCTTGAATTGTACCGATGAATCGATTTGTACAATTCAATAGAGGTAATGCAGCGAAGTTCTGTAACGCGATTCAATGCAGTTATTCACTGCAGTTCTATTTATTCACTTCGGTCTAATATAAGTCAAACTGATAATCATTTACTTAGAAAGTTTCAAGAGCAACGGATCGGAAGGTATCGCTGTACTCTACATTGTACAAAGTCTTTCAAAGGTCCCGTGTCGCCGATTCGATTTTATATCAATTGCCGTATAGCGTAGTGACATAAAAGAAAAGAGAATATTTCGAGTACAATAGTAGCTTATAGTAGGAAATGAGAAAGTTTCAATCGCATTGTGACGTGCGTAACAACTTCATATTCCCGCAGGTAATTTTAATAGTTCATAAATTGGTAAACACAAATTGCTGTGCTAGTCCATACATCGCTGATATAAATTTTGCACAGCTCGAGTATAATAAGCTGTTTTAATATTTATCATATTAATTTTACAGTTGGTCTGTAATCAATTCTCAAAATACTACAGTAATCGCAGAATTATATACTAATCTTAGATTTGTGAATATTGCTAATATTTGGATTAATTAAGATAGTTTGCCTTTTGTATTGCTTATCTTATAGTATACCTAATATTTTCTTATATTAAACAAAGCAACCGCATCAGTTATCCTTCTGTGAGCTAACCTGGTTACTCGCCCACGTAATTTCATTAATTATACAGCGATCATTCGATACACGCGGCGTTAATTACAAATCTCTCGGTGTATACACATTCTCGTCTATCTGATCTACATTTACTTACTTTAGATCTACTCCCGACAGCATCTACAAACAGATACGAGCATATCAGATGTCGAGGTAATGAATCGATAATCCGTTCGAAGTTTATGAGTATCGCTACAGTGGAGTTTCGACAAAAGTACGAGAGATTTGCAAAAGCCGCTTACCTCCAGCTTTTCTGAACTTTGTCATTTATCGAATCGCCGCCAGGCTGGTAAAAGGGAGATAAATAAAACGGGAAAATAGATACGGCGCGCAGCGGCGGCGACGGCGGCGACGGCGAGAAAAAAATGTACCGGTTGCGCAGGGACGAGAGAGGACAGGCACAGCGACGTTGAAAAATCTATTTATATATGTCCGATACTCCGACCCGAAGTATACCCGGTGTGCCAGTGTGTCAGCGTCAGATGTGACGACGTCACACAGGCGAGATGGAACTGGACGCCCGTCTGACCCGTGCGAACACATACACAGAGCTTTTTTCATGAGATCGAGATTTCACCGAATATGTATGGTAGTTCTTGTTTGTTACATCATAAATCCAGAGAAGTTTTCAGACATCGACATGTCTGAGAAAATAATTCTTGATTCCCTAGTTTGTTAGTAACAGCGCGTATTTAGTATCATTGATAATTGACACTAATTAAAAAGAATATTGAGAAAAAGAAATGAAAAACTTCAAAATAAGTTCAAATGAAAATAGCTAAAGAAAGAAAAAAATAACGAAAATGTAAAAGATAAAAAAGCTTCAAGATTTTATCTTCAATAATTTTCAATCACGGTATTAATAGCTAAAGCTTATATAACAGCTGACATCTATTTCGCCGATTATTAGTTCAATTATTGCTCTCGATTAAACGATTGATAATTGCATAATTGTTAATTTCCTATGCGACTTCCCTTGAAAACATAATCGATGATGAAACAATGCAACAATTACGCGTTCGTAAGGATTATCATAAGGATTATCCGTTATGATCCACTTGTCCACGTGATAGCTTAAGCTCTCTCGAATTCGATTCGATCTACTTTAGTCTGCTATTAGTCTTAAATAGTAGGATTTCACCTGATCCGATTGCATCCAATTTACTTAGTAATAAAATAATCATTATATGGTAATCCCTTTTTCAAGATGCTGCAGGATGTTATTAACTGGATATTTATATGCCCCGTTCCAATCAAGACGCGTTCTCGCATTGATCATCTGCATCTTCGCCTTGAAGGGTTTTAATTAATTCTGCCTGGATCGTTTTAGCTACGGCTGCATCGTATTCGATCGTAGCAACGCCAAAATTTATCGCTCAGTGCATTACAACGCACAATCCCCTCGTTTCTTCACTCTAAGATCTTCCTGCGAAACTAACTTCATTTATCCCACCGATACTCGATACCAACATCGTTCCTATCGCTAATCTTGAATAACGACGTTCTGATAGATGCCTATAAATTCCGACTAATCCATCCTAATTTGAAGAGAAAAATAGCTTCGTTCTCTCACAATAAAATTTCATCTTTGCATTCTACCGGGAGGAATAATATATTCATGACAATAATAACAATGGCAATTACATTGTTCGTTTAACTTAACTAGATACGTCGAGACTTCGTTAGAAGTTATTCCATTTACACGCTTGCACCAATCGGACCTTTCTGCTTTTCTAGTTATCTCATTTCTTTAGTCACTCTCTCGCTTGTCATTCCTCGCTTGTTGTGTTATCATAGTTTATATCTATTCGTTCTCTTCGCTCTATCCCTTTTTTTTCTCTTTTTCTCTTCTCGCAGGATTTACTTTCTCAAGTGCAATTAAAACATAATAAAATTCAATATATCATGAATTTTTTATTTAAGTGAGATAAATGAAACATTTTTATAGTTTTATGCATTAAATGGGCGTGTAGAAAGAAGAGTCGTGTTAAAAATTGTCACATAAGTATAGAAATTTAGAGTACTCCACAAAGTTGTCTACTTTTATGGAGTACTCATAGGAAAAGTACAGAAAGAAACATGCTCATAGGAAGAATACAAGAAGAAACGTTTCCCCTTGAATCGATTAAAAGACGAGTGCAATGTAGACGAGAATATCCCCGTCTCTCGCGAAACGTGAAATAAAATTATAATGTATCGATCAATCTGGAATCAAATATTATAATTTGAAAAATGTCATTATTAGTCCTAGTCAATTATTGTTAAATTATAGTTAGCGCAAATTTTAGTTACATAAATGAAAAAATGTAACACAATAAATAATATTTTTAATAGGAAATTAAAAAATATCTATTAGGTGTTGGAATTAATTCGTAGCGTTTTTTAATGAAAGAATGTTATTTATTTCACATGAGCATTAAAAAATACATTAATGAAAGTACTTCCCATCACTTGTAAAACGCTACGAATTAATTCCAACACCTAATATTATAACAATGTTATATCTATTAATTATTTAAAGAAAGAGAAAAGGAGAGAGAGAGAGAAAGAGAGAGAGAAAGAGAGAGAGAGAGAGAGAGAGAGTGTGTGTGTGTGTGTGTGTGTGTGTGTTTATATAATATGCTAATAAATATTAAATATTTATCTTTTTTCGTTCTTAGAATTCTTGAATAACCATTATAACACCATTAATTAACATCGTTTCTCTCATATTCATCTAAAAGCTAAACATAAAATAACGAAGTCGATATTAGCCAATATTAGCCAAATTGAACATCTTTAGATATGCCTAAAAACAATTAAAAAAGCAAGTATCTCTCGCATTTTCCCCGGCCTGTAGACGTTTACACGACACTGCAACTAAATTACCTTGTTACTGCAGCGATATAGTTGTTTTGTGTTGCTTTCT